TTTAAAGCTCTTGCTATTTCATTGGACGCTGAAAAAGCATTTGATCGCGTGGAGTGGGGGTACCTATTCAGAGTACTACATAAATTTGCCCTGGGACCCGAATACATTCAGTGGGTGAAATTGTTGTATAGTGCGTCTGCTGCACGGGTTCTGGTCAATGGTTCAGTCTCAGAGGTTTTCCATTTGGGCCGGGGAACGCGTCAGGGCTGTCCCCTTTCCCCCCTATTATTTGCGCTGGCTTTGGAACCGCTGGCGGAGGCTATAAGGAGTAATCCTGACATTACTGGCATCCAATTGGCTAATACTGAGTACAAGATTTCACTTTATGCAGATGATGTCTTGCTGTTTATTACTAAGCCAGAGACATCCATTCCAACTCTACTTTCTATTATTAATAAATTTGGCCAGATCTCTGGGTATAAAATCAATTTTGAGAAGTCAGAAGCCCTACCCCTTGGGGCTCAAAGGGGCGAGTGTAATCCTCCACCTAATTTTCCCTTCAGATGGTCTATGGAAGGCTTCACGTATTTAGGAATTAAAATATCAGCAAACACCTCTGAATTATACAAGTTAAATTTCAGAACAGTTCTCAATTCAGTTAAAAATGATCTTAATAGGTGGTTTGACCTCCCCCTATCATTACTAGGCAGGATAAGTTTGATAAAAATGAATATACTTCCCCGGATACTTTATCCAATGCAAATGTTACCTCTTCAAATAAATAAAACGACTTTTTCAGAAATTGACAAATTCATATCAAAATTTATTTGGCATGGGAAAAAATCTAGACTTAAAATGAAAACCTTACAACTTCCTGTTGAAGGGGGTGGTCAGGCGTTGCCTAACTTTCAGTACTACTATTGGGCCTGTCATATAAGGATAGTATCAGGATGGATACACTCACTTTTACACCACGCTGAGTCACACGTGGATGGTTGGTGTTGTGAACAGTCACTGTTGAGCTTATTGCCCTTAGATTTGGGTAACCTTCCAATCGAGGTAAAGAATAACAATATTTTGTTTGCAACTTTTAGAGCATGGCGTAATATAAGAGAACATCTGGGGCGTAAACACTTTTCCAGTGCAATGCAACCTCTTATTAAAAACATAGCATTCACCCCTGGTATGGATTTTGGCATATTTGATAATTGGGAAAGTAAAGGTTTGAAACTAGTGTGTGACTTCTACCAAAATAATGCTTTCATGTCGTTTGAGCAAATTAGGGATATATATGACATCCCGCAAAAAGACTTTTATGGTTTTCTCCAGGTCAGACACGTTGTTCAATCATCCCTCTCCTTCCCTAAAGATCAACCAATCTTAAACTCAATTGAAAAATGTCTCCTCAAACTTAATGAGAGCCTTACTCCAAAAAAGAAGTGTATCTCTCTTTTCTATAATGAAATCATCGTATCAAAACCTCTGGCTGGTTATTCCAGGGCCCATTGGGAAGCAGATTTGGGGGTTGAGCTTGGTGACGAGGCCTGGTCACGTGCATTTATGTTGGCTAGAAAGACATTCGCTTGTAACAGACTTCAGGAGAATCAATATAGAATCTTGCACAGACTGCAACGGACTCCACAATTTTTGCACAAGATTCAACCTCAGCGCTCTCCTTTCTGTATAAAATGTAAACAAACAGTGGGGACCTATTATCACTGTATCTGGCAGTGTCCTATGATACTCAAGTTTTGGAAGAACATTGTTACTGTGCTCCGATCCATATTTCACCAGACCATCTCAGTGGACCCTGCCTTATTTCTATTAGGTGTATCTGAGAGGCTTCCTGTGCTGCCCGGGCAGGGGGCACTATTACGAAAACTTTTACATCTGGCGAGGAGATGCATCCTTTTACAATGGATACAGACAAAACCTCCGTCTGTCACACAATGGTACAGGGAAACATTTAAAGTTTTTCCAATGGAACGTCTCAGTGCCCTCTCAAAGGGAAATTTCAGCATTTTTTACAAGATATGGCAACCCTTCTTGGACCATCTACCTCGGGACCTATCGACTTTACTTTGTAAAGGAGGCTCACACTTTGTTTTCAAATTTAATCAATGATCGAAAAAAGTGCTCTTATTTGATATTATTATTTGTTTTATTATTAATATTATTTTCACCCTTACTTATGAACATATGTAAACGTGCTGTGCTGGCTGTAATGTACTGTGTGTTTTTGTGAAAAAAGCAATAAATTATTGTTTAAAAAAAAAAAAAAAAATTGATGATGATGATAATAATAATAACACTAATGCATTGGATGTAGTTCCTCAAAGATGCTTCACATGGCCTTTATCCGTCACTGGTGGTGAGAGCCATAGCTGCCCCGGGACAAAAGCCATGCAACCATTGATTTGTCATTGTCTCCTCCAACCACCACCAATCATTCACGCACATACCAGACTCATATTCAGGCATGTGGAGGCTGTGACTGTCATGGTTTAAGTTTATTTCCTGTTTTATTTTGAAATGTGTTATCCCTGTGTCTTCTTTGGTTGTACTTCCTGTTGTCTTATTACCTGCCCTGCCCTCATCTGTCTCACCTGTGTCTCGTTAGTCTTGTATTTAGCCCTGTGTGTTCCTTCACTCCCGGTTCCATCATTGTCATTCCTCGTCTGTTTTAGTTCGGTCCTCGTTCCCTGTGTTTTAGGAAGTTTTGGTGTTTGCTTTTTATTAAATCCATTATTTGTTGCAGTTTTGCATTTTGGGTCTCATTTAATTTCACACACGTGACAGTGACTGTACAGCCTCAGCCGCCCCACAGTGGCATCTAGTATTCTCCCATTACATTACTAATTATGCGAATGTGGATAATGTGTATTTCTATTGTGGTTGAGTTGTCAGAGCAAAGTTTTTTAACTTATTATTTTGACTCCAAGTTTTAGTAGCTTTAGGAGACTTGTTCATTGTCAAAATAGACTGTGAATGAGTCATGGAACCGAAAACATCATCATTAAATCATGCTGTGTCCAGTTATAAAGTCGTCTATCTGCTACAACATGAACACCTGCAGCTTATATGTAAAAAATGCACTTTCTTGAAAACATTTTTTTTGCTGGTGCGGTTTACAAGTGCACCTAATAGTCCAGAATGATCTAAACATGTGGTCATTCTCATTATTATTAAAGGTAAAGGTGCACTTTATTGATCCCGTAGGGCAATTCATACTCTGCATTTGACTCATCCTGATGCCACTAAGGCTTACGTCAGGAGCAGTGGTCGCCGTAGTACAGCGCCGGGGAATCAATCTGCAGATGTTACAGTCTGTCCCAGACACCAGTAATGACCATCCTGTCAGTAATGGCTTCAGGGAACTGGTTTAGGGCAATTGGGGGGGTCCAGATTATACAGGACGGCAAGGACATTTTGACGCATCATTCCAACTAGCAATATTCAATAAACAATGCGCTCACCTAGTCCATTGGTCATTATTATGTAGTACTATATGTCAGACTGCGCAACAAACACTCCTGATTCTCTAAATGTGTGATTTATAGGCACTCCTTGCCTGCTGTATATTTATAAAGAACTTTTGAGTTTGATCTTTCTCCTTTCAGACTTCTCTTATGTGATGACAAACTTTCAAGGCTCTACTGTCAGTTTTTTTGTGAATTCTCAATGTTCAAGCACAAAAGTTGTCAGTGAAACAATAGGAAACATGTTTTTGTTTGACTCTGAAATAGGACAAAATAAAACCTTGAAGAGTTAAAGAACAACACAAACTAAAACATCTGTGGAAATCACATGCGGCTAAAACTAACAAACACTTTTGCTTCACATTAAAGTGATAGTCTGGAACTCTAAATGAATTTTAGTAAATTGACCTCCTGGCCTTAAATGTTGATACAAAATAAGTCATTTAATGAATTCTAATATTACGGGTAAGTCCCGCCTTCCCTTCTCTTAGCTCTAGCTCAGAATCCATGATGCCGTCCACGTTAACCAATCGAGTCATGCCAAGGGCTCTAAATCATCTAAAACAAACAACTGAGCATGCTCAGTTGTTTGTTTTCACGGCTCATTAGGCTCTGAAACTACATGAAAACTGAACAAAGAATTCTGAACATCTGCGCCGCATTTATATACTGAACCTATATCCAAAATCAGATCCTCTGCAGATGTGTCCTATAAAGTGCAGTTAATGTTTATAGCTACTTCCGGGTTTGCCGTGATCGCTTTTTTTGTGCATTAAAACATTATTTATGTCATGAAAACGTCAACAAATGATTCTGAAAACCTCTGTCCATGTGTACTAACAATGTATGTGTATAAAGTGTTTAAATGTGTTGATTGATTGTTACGAAAACGTAGGCGTAGACCAATCTGAAAGGAAGGGGGAGGGAGCTTGGGTCGTTTTTTTCAAACGACCCAAGCTCCCTACGCTCTCATAACACGGAGCCACCTAGTTTTATTTTCGATCTGATACGTATGCTAACATTAGCATTAGCACAACTTCTTGTAAGCTGTACAACAATCACTGATGAAATGATACTAAAGCAACGCACTGCTAACACAATATATAGGTAAAAGAATACCGCTAGTATCGCGTCCGAATGTATTGTAATACTCCCAGGTAAGGAATGCTCCAACAGTGCTCTTCAAGATGCTTTTATTGACAAGGTGACCGAACAAGCTGCTGTTAGCCACAGCTCACGCTTAACTCACCCATTTACAACACACACTGCCGTCGTGTCAACTCGTGGGGAAACCCCCCACCTCTGGAAAACTCTCTCATAACCCGAGCGCCCCCCTGTGGTAGTAAACCGATAACACAGAACTATTACACAGCTCCCCCCTTTAAAAGTCCCTTGCCCTCAAGGGGACATAACAAAATCAGCAAAACGTGGGGGTCTATGCCGGATTCTCCGTGTTCTGACGGACCCACAGATAGTTCCTGCCACAGCTGGTGGCTGGGATGGAGCATTAGAGGAAGAGAAAGAGGGATTCTGGCTAGCTAAATGCCTTGGGCTGCTTTGTGGGCATAGCCACTGTTCAAATCAAGGTACTGTCTGACACCTGTATGGTGCGAGCCTGTCCCGGTGAAGAACTACCTTCCTGCCTCGAGGGGGAACCTGTACTCTGTAGACCACCTCCCCCACCTGCTCTAACACACGACAAGGACCATCCCAGTGGCTATCTAGTTTAGGGCAGCGTCCTTTCTTTCTTTTCGGAGTGTAAACCCAAACTAAGTCCCCAGTACTGAAGTCTTTACCTTTACTTCTCACATCATAGTTCCTTTTCTGTCTCATACCAGCTTTTTCCAACTGGTCTCGAGCAAAAGCATGAGCCGACTCCATTCTATCTTGTAGTTTTCTGGCATACTCTGGTCCCGGCACGTCCTCCAGATCCCCTGGGGGACGTCCATAAGCCAAAGCTGCCGGAGTCCGTATCTCTCTGCCCAGCATCAACAGAGCCGGGGTACAGTTAGTGGAGTTCTGGACAGCAGATCGATAGGCCATCAGAACAAGGGGAATGTGTTTATCCCAGTCACGCTGGTGAGCTGCAGTGAGGATTGCCAATTGCTGCTGCATAGTGCGGTTGAAACGCTCCACTAAGCCGTCGCTCTGTGGATGCAATGGTGTGGTACGGGTTTTCTGCAAGTTCAGCCTGTCACAGAGGGCTGCAAAGACACGTGACTCAAAATTTCTGCCCTGGTCACTATGAATGATGTCTGGGGTACCAAAACGGCTGAACATGCCCTCCAGCAGTGTATCTGCCACTGTCTCTGCTTCCTGGTCTGGCAGGGCATAGGCCTCGGGCCACTTTGTGAAATAGTCCATTGCACACATCACATATTTATTTCCCTGATCTGAGACTGGGAAAGGGCCCATAATGTCTACAGCTACCCTCTCCATGGGCGCACCAACTGCTTGTTGCTGCAGGGGGGCATGGGACTGGTCCTGAGGCCCCTTGTAGGCAGCACACTCATCACACCGACGACAAAAGTCCTCGACATCACGACGGTGCTGGCCCCAATAATATTCCTGACGCAAGCGATACAGTGTCTTAGTTGTCCCAAAATGACCCGAGCCAGCCCCCCCATGACATGCCCCCAGCACACCATCTCTCAGGGCCTTGGGCACCACAATTTGCCACCTCTCCTCCCCAGTCGCTGGTTCCTTCCATCCCCGCTGTAGTACTCCCTCCAAAACGCGAAGTGTTTTGAACTTACTCCATAGGCCCTTAGTAGCCACTGAAAGCCCCATAACACCCTCCCAGGAGGGTCTCTCACCCCTAATTACCCACTGGCGCACTAGGCGCAAGTCACTGTCCTTTTCTTGTTCAGAGGCCCAATCAGGACTACCCTCTACCTCTACAGAGCAGCAAGCGGGCTCAGCCACGGCAGCCTCCCCTCGCAGTTCCTCCTCTCTGGCATCTCTCCGGTCACAGTAGCCACACCCGGTTGATGCACACGGACGCCGAGACAGGGCGTCAGCATTAGCATGTTGTGTTCCAGGGCGATGCACAATCTCGAAGTGAAACGACTGCAGCTCCTCCAGCCAGCGCGCCACCTGGCCCTCTGGTTCCCTGAAAGACATCAACCACCGCAAAGCTGCATGGTCTGTTCTGACAGTGAATGGCACACCACACAAGTAATATTTAAAATGCCGGACAGCTAACACTACAGCTAACAGTTCACGTCTTGTTACACAGTAGCGCCTCTCACTTTTGTTAAACAACCGGCTAAAATAGGCTACAACGCGTTCACCTTCAGGGCCGGTCTGTGACAGCACAGCCCCCACTCCAGCATCACTAGCATCAGTGTCAAGTGTGAAAGGCAACGTGGGGTCTGGTGGGGTGAGAACAGGTGCATTAATCAGGGCCTGTTTGAGAGTGATGAATGATTCCTGGCAGTCAGCTGTCCAGGTGAAAGAATGATTTTTCTGGAGGAGGCGAAATAGAGGAGCCCCAATACAGGAAAACCCCCTAACAAACCTTCTATAATAAGAGGCCAGCCCCAAGAAACTTTTGAGCTGCTTCTGATTTCCTGGGGAGGGCCAGTCTCTGATAGCCTGGATCTTTTCCTGGAGCATGCCAATGCCCTCACCATCGACTTTGTGGCCCAGAAACTCCACCTCCCTCCGCATGAAGTGGCACTTATCCGGGTGAAGCTTTAATCCGGCTGTCGCAATCCTACCAAGCACCAACCGCAGAGAGTCTAGGGCCGCTCGGAAAGACTTTCCATGGACCAGGACATCATCCAGATACACCAGGCACTCCTGTCGGGGAACATTAGCTAGAACACAGTCCATAAGTCTCTCAAATGTCCCCGGAGCATTACAAAGCTCAAAACTTAGAACTTTGAACTGCCAGTGGCCCCTGCCTGTGCTGAATGCGGTCTTTGGCCTTGAGGCAGGGGAAAGAGGGACCTGCCAATATCCGCTCCTCAAGTCCAATGATGTGAAACATGACGAGCCTGAAACTAAATCCAAGGTCTCGTCCACGCGTGGAAGTGGATAGCAGTCCTTCCTTGTCACTTTATTCAATGGCCTGTAGTCCACACAGAACCTCCATCTTGAGCTCTTCTTCCGAGGGACCATGACCACAGCTGACGACCAGGGACTGTCAGAGGGTTCAATTATACCAGCCTCCAGCATGGCAAGGACTTCACTGTCCGCAGCATCTTGTCGTATCAGGGGTAGGCGGCGAGGACGTACCTTGATAGGCTGTGCATCCCCTGTTTCAATGTGGTGCTCAACTAGATGTGTGAGCCCCACCTCATTATCATTTAGTGCGAACAAGTCATTAAATTCCCACAGGACCTGCCACAGTTCTGCTTTCTGCTGCTCATCCAAGCCCCCACAGCTCTTCTCCCAGATTAAACTGACAGCTTCAGCTCTGTCTTGAGGTTCACACGACAGGGGACGAGTAGGGCACGAGTCATGCAGGGGAGTTACAGGCGCAGGTGGTGGACCTGCATCAGTGAGCACAGACGTGCAGCAAGTGGGCAAGACTGGACTAACATTGCCGCGGGGTGAAATAAGCTGTACAACCCGCCCCTGAGGGAGAACCATTATGCCTGCCCCCAAGTCCAATACACACCCAATAAACCTGAGGAAGTCCACGCCCAGGACACATGGGTCTTTAACGTCAGCGACCCAGGCCTGGAATGTCACACAATTGCCCCCAATAGCAAAAACAAAAGTCCCACGCCCTTTCATGGCGGCCGTCTGTCCAGTAACCGTTCGCAATTTTACCGAAGTTGACTCCAAAACTGTCCCTGCTGGAACAACGTCGGGTCTCACCAATGTAGCTGTAGATCCTGTATCACAAAGCGCTGGGCAGGAAACATTCCCAATCAGCACAGGTATATAGCAACGGAAACCCACCTCTGTCCAGCCCACTGTCTCCACAGCATCTGCATGAGGGAATGTAACGTCGTCTCCCCCTTCAGGGAAGAACAGCTGCTCCCGGTCGACGGTGGACAGGGCCTGTGTCTCCCGGGCTACACAGACCCTCTCTCGTTTCCCCGTTGACCTTTTGCCTCCGGGCAGCGACGGAGAGTGTGGCAGGGCTTGCCACACCCCCAGCAGGAGGGTGGAAGGTTCGATGGGGACTGCGTGTCTGCACCTCTCGGCCTCACAGCGAGGTTCTTCACAGCATGGATCAGCTCCTCCGCCCAAGCGGGTTTATACTCTGGCTCCACCTTAGTTGCAGCAGTGACCATGAGTTCAGTACACTTTGAGGCACCAAATGCAGTCTCTCTCTCCAGAGCTAACTCCAGCGCCTGGCTCAGCGACACCGGATGGATAAGCTGAACGTGTAACCGCAGTTCAACTGGGGTCAGGGCATGCACAAACTGGTCATGCACAAGCTCACTCTGGATCACACTTGGCAAAGTTGAATATGCACGTCTGCCCAGGCTCTCAATCTCATGCGCCAGAGAGCGAAGGGACTCACCCGGCCGCCTCACTCGGTTCTTGAACTCACAGCGCAGGGAGTCTTTTAAATTGAGCACTCCGAAACGCCTCTGCAGAGCTCCCACCAGCATAGCATAGTCCTGTCTCTCATCTGGAGACAGAAGCAACAAACAGGCAGCCGCCTCTTCAGTCAGGGATAAAGTCAATTGCACTGCCTTCATCTGGCCCGACCAGCCCGCTGCCGCAGCCAATAGTTCAAACTGGGCCAGATACGCCTCCAGATTCCCACTGCCCGAGAATTTCAGAGTCATTGAGCCTGTTGCAATGAGCGGACGCGCGCCGCCATCTTTGTTCACATCTAGACTCGGCTCGCGTGCTCCCGCTGCTGTATCCCAGCGCCGGGAATCGGAAAAGTCCGGGTAATTGGACATAAGGTTCTCTGGCCGCACCTCTGAGCAAGCTGGCATCTCAATAGAACACTCGTCAGCCTCTTTCTTCACCTGTAGCCGTGCACCGTCCATGGGAAACATCTTCACTCTCAGTTTCAAAGCGATGAGGACGAATCTCGAACTTCTGACACCAATGTAATACTCCCAGGTAAGGAATGCTCCAACAGTGCTCTTCAAGATGCTTTTATTGACAAGGTGACCGAACAAGCTGCTGTTAGCCACAGCTCACGCTTAACTCACCCATTTACAACACACACTGCCGTCGTGTCAACTCGTGGGGAAACCCCCCACCTCTGGAAAACTCTCTCATAACCCGAGCGCCCCCCTGTGGTAGTAAACCGATAACACAGAACTATTACAGTATTAATTTAAACATTAGAATATATTCTAATATTTAATCATAATTTACTGTATTATACAGCTCCTCACAGCAGCAGTAGGACACTCCATTGACTTGAATGTAATTCTACCGATCATTTTTTCTCGATAACAGAACTCTCAAACCAATAATGACCGCAGCCCCAATGCAATCTCCGTTTGTAATTCAGGTGTGTAAAATACTGCCATTACTCCGCAAGTACAAGCTATAAGCGCCTGTCACTACGCTGTACAGTTTCCCTGCACACTTGTCTGTGTAGAGAAGCTACCGGAGCTAGCCACGCTCAATAAACAAATACATATCAATGAATCAACACCATTAAACATCAATCGGACAATACAGTATACATATACATCCTTAACACACATGCACGGCCGATTTCAGAATCTGCTGTCAACTTTTTCATGACAAAAATACTGTTTTAAAGTGACAAAAAGCGATCACAAAAAATCCGGAAGTTACCATGAAACAGCAAGCTAGCTTAGCTGTTACCTGCCTAGCACGTCCCGGTGAAACCTTCGGGAGCCAACCATTTTATTTGCAGTCATTAAATGCATTTTGTGTGTTCGAATATACATATATTTTTTATTTTAGAATTATATTCGAATTTTGAAGTCGAAGCCCTGGTGTTGAGCAGCGCTGTAGAGGCTAGAGGACGCAGGCTGCTCGCTTCTTGTTCTGTGAGTGGAGGAGAACAAACGGCCCGCTAAGACTCTACTCAGCACTTTTCACTGCCTGAATTTCATACACAGCTGAATCAATTACCTCAAGTTTTCAATTAAATGATGTATTACGATACAACTTGTATGTAGTAAAAAGCATTTTTATGAACTACTTAGAAAAAAAATTGGGTATAGCTTCTTTAAGATGGTCCTGGGTTCAATTCCACACCTTCCTGTGTTGAGTTTGCATGTTCTCCCTATCGCATTTTTGAGAAAATATGCAAGAATAAGTTATTGAGGTTATGCAAATAATACATCATACTACAGAGTATTATTTCTAATCAACATTTGTGTGCATTTTACTACGTCACTATTGTTTACTCCAAACCTGGAATTGTTTTTAGGTACATCCACGCAATGATCCACGCTATGATCAATCACTTATAGCACAAACCAGCACTAGCATCCCCCAACCCCCACCCTATCTGCCTAAATGTTCTATTTTCAAATCTGCCATTAAAACATGAGTATTGCCTCCAACTACAACTAAGGAGCGTGTCAAATTAAAAGAGTGAAAACAAGCATCTGACTCTTCAAAAAATTTAGGTTGCAATGTGGGTTGAGCCTGTGCCGCTCAGTGTGTAGGAAGAGCTGGGGTTTTTGGGTCAAAAACAACCCTGGTGTGGATTTGTTTGAAGGGAATGAGACTCAAGAGATTTTGGCATGTTTGATATTTATTTTAAAAGAATGACATTTCTGCCAGTGCCAAGTGTTTTTGGACCGTGTCAAATTCCATTGATAAGCTAAGACAAACCTTTATTCATTCTCAGTGGGGAAATGTCAATACTCTGGAGGTATAATGGCACTCGGTTCAAGGATAAGTTCACTTGTGGAGCATACACTGTAGTTAGTAGCAATCATAGTATGTTTATCCATATATTTTTTTAACATGAAAACATATTTTACCTACTAAAAAGTTAAATTCCAGAGTAAATAGACTTCCTTTGAAACCTAAAAAAACAATATTATAAAAAATAGTCCCTCACTCTAAAAAAGTGTGGTTCTATTACTAATTTTCTCACGCATGTACTTTAGGCCAGTGTTCCCCAACCTTTTTGAGCTGTGGCACACCTTTGTCATTGCAAAAAAAAATTGGCACACCACCAACTGAATTTGGTGAAACCCTACAGCCTTTAGTAACAAATCAAACAAGCACAACATCTTTCTAATCATCGCACATTATTCTCTTTTCACATAATTTTGACCAAACAGGTGATATTTAACTACTATATCAAAGGCAACGGATAAAGCGGAAGAAAATGGATGGATGGATGGATCAAAGGCACAATAATAAACATCTCAAGGCACACCAACGTGCCACGGCACACTGGTTGAAAAACACTGCTTTAGGCCTCTGTCACAACTTTAGATCAGCTTTTTCAGGCCCGAAATAAAGAGATTAACTCAGCCAATCAGCTCTCAATATATAAAAGATAAAATGTTGAATGATGTGAAGACAGCATGTTGTGAACTGATTTGCTCACAAAATATTGATTACAGAAAACATTATAAAACAAACCAAACAAACTTAGATTAGATTCATTTAGATTAGATTCAACTTTATTGTCATTATGATACAAGAACAATGCAACAAAATGCAGTTTAGCGTCTAACCAGTACAAAAGCACAAGTATAGGATCATATTTACAACACAGATAAAAGTATATGCGTATGTGAGACTGCGAAAAGCTGCTATTGCTAGCATATACGTACAATGATTACATTTCATTACATTGAAGTGCCTCTAATGTGCTTTAACAGGCAGGAGTTCAGGCGTGTGACCGCTCTGTGATAAAAAAATAAATAAAAACAGTTTTAACTCTGCCGGTCCTGACCCCAAATCCAACAGAAACAATGCATCATACGTCTTTTTTAAGCCATCATTTCACAAGTGCTTTTTTCCTGCTTGTGCGGCTGCATTCTCTGCGGTTACGCTTTGGCCTGAGATGAACTTGCTGACCGATCCGAAGTGTCTGGGTGCATTAGACAGCCGTGATGTAAGGCTGCAGGCTGCTGTTATTGTGTTATGGCTTTCTCATATTAAAGTGATGGATAAACACTACGCGGGTGTGGGCTGTTATTACCTTAGGCTCAGCGCGTCTCCACATTTCCGCAGAAGAGGACCGGTGCATTATCATTACTGTCTTTATGCCTGTGTTGAATTTCACGCCTCTGACTGCATGCGCTAAAGTCAGACAGTACCATTTTACAAAGTGCTGTGTGGTTTTGTAATGTGTTGGGAGTTTGAGCTTACACAATAGTTTAAGATGATGATTCGTTTTTTCTATGTATATCACACATGTTGGAACAAAAACTAGACTTCTACTTCGCAGGAACGGCAAAACTCACAATGGATGGTAATGAATGGTGATGGTGTCATACGATTTTTATAATTGTTTTAGAACTTGTTCAACACAAATTCAGTGACATAATGGGAGCAAATGTGCCACAATTTTGTTATTGGTTAGGGTTAGTTAGTAAGTAAGTAAGTGTTAATTTATGTAACGCATTTTACAGACCAAGGTCACAAGCTCTTCAATGTTCAGAAATAATATATTTTTCCATTCACACACGGTGATGATAGAAGCGAGACGCCAAACATCATGGCGCATCAAAGCCCCCAACCAACACAATCCATTCATACCTATTGTACAGGTTATTTAGTGGTATGGCGGAAACCGGAGCACCAGGAGGAAACCTACGCAGGCACGGGGAGAACATGTAAACTCCATTCAGGAAGTGTTAGGTTTAACTTGAAGAACAACACACTCACCTTACCCACTCTTTGTATCACAATGCATCACAATGTATTCACAATTTAAATTTGGGGATAAATGTCAAACCTTCAAAAAATGTATCCATTCCATCTGTCTCTTTGGTTCTATCATTGTTTTTCACATGTATGATTTATGGCCTCACCTTTAGATCAGCTCCCCCCCCCCCCCCCCAGACAAAAACAGACAAAAACATGACAAAAAAGAGGGCAGTATTCTCCTAGCCAATCAGCTCCCAGCCCAAAGTGTCCAATAGTGACTCACATGGTTCTTTCTTTAAAGGCTGCAAAAGATAATACGTTTTACAATAAGATGAAGACGGAATGCCAAGTCCATTGCAATTTTCCGGTAAAATTGTGATCTTAGCTATTATTTATATTTATGTTTATATTTTCACTTTCTCTTTTTTTGTTATTTATTCTTCCTTCAACAACAATTTAACTATAAGATACAAGAAGTATCAGTCACTTGATTAACAGTCTCAACTTTACATCAGACGAGACAGTAATCACTAAAAGTATTTTTTCATCTGTAGACTTTAACTTTATCATAAACAATGTTATAACTTATTGTACTCACTGAATGTATTTTTAGCCTCACATGTTCCATCTGTTCATTATCATCAGCTTTATCTGTTGTCGGGTCACGAGGGTAGCACATGTTGGTAATATATCCATGGCAACAGTCTGCTAGACTATGATAAGTTATGACGGAGTAGTTTGCATTTACTTGCTCTCCACAACATAATGCTATAAGCTGCTCCCATGACACTCAGAATGTAGTTTTGTTTGTGTAGTTATTTATAATAATATTTGTATTTTTTGTTGTTGCGTCTTATTTAACCCACTTACCTACTCATGTAATGATGCCCGAATTCAATTTAGTTAAATTTATTCTTGTATAGCCTTAAACCACAACAGTAGTTTATTCGGTAGTTTAGAGAATCAAACAGTTCAAACACAAGAAATGCAATGACAGAAAACATAGAACCATTTGTCCTGTGACAAAGCAGATTTGTCCTTTTTGGAGGACAAATCTGAGGACTTTGTCCTCTTTTAATGGCACATTTTATAAATGCATTCCATACCTGTATTAGAGGGTGTGTCCTTGTCAGCCATTTTGTACCCTGTGGGTGGAGCCTCCCTATGCTAAAAGCTCACAGGTAAACCTCATCAGGAGGGACACACCCAAGGGACAGGACTGTTT